GGGGGTGTCATGAGTGAAAATTTTTATTAGCTATTTGTCGTCCTATGATAAGTGTGATTGAAGTCACAATGATTGTCATTTTGTGTATGTGTTCTTTTGTCAGATTTTATACATTAAGAGTGCCTACAATTATTTGAAAGTATTGTTGTAAAGTGAATGATAGGCATGAAACATGTCATTGTGTTAGCTGTTAAAATTTTTTTTATCGTGATGCACTTAGAGCTACCAGAAAATGGGCACAACAAAAGTTATCTTTATTGTTATTATTTGTGAAACGTTGTTTTCGTCTTAAAATGACCCGTTTCTTTCCCCCCTGCAGGGAAGCTTGACCAACAGAAGTCTCAAGTCACAGAACTCAAGACTAGATGGTGAGGAGGATTTTTTTTCTTTTTGTACAATCATGTAGCTGTGTTTGGAAGCGAGGCTGGGCATTGAAAAAGGAAGATGAAAACTGAGTCCAAGCATTAGAAATGTGCTTCTATAGATGGTGTCAAATATATAGGTAAAAGAACAAATGAAAGTGTCTTGAAAGAACTTGATACACATTATGGAATGCTTTTTGAAATCAGGAAAAGGAAACTCAATTACCTTGGTCATGCAAGCAGAAACACAAAAAATGGACATTGTGACAACTGGGCTACAGGGGAAAATTGAAGCAAAGAGAAGTAAGGCACCATTTGGTTTGGTTTCACCTTCCCCTCCGTTCCCCACCCATCCCTTCTCGTCCCCCTCCATTCATGTCTCCCTCCCTTCTCCTCCCCCTCCATCCCCCATTCGTCTATTCTCGTCCCCCACCCTTCCTTTCTTGTCCCCCCACCCGTCCATTCTACTCCCCCTCCATTCCCCCACACCTCCCTTCTCATCCCCCTCCCTTCTCGTCCTCCTCAGCCAACTCCAACAACGGGACCAGCCCCTCCGACAGTCTCACCAGCCGAGAGCCGCCGGGATTGGACCAGCTGGAGTTTGTCAAGCCCCGCCCACCTGCCAGCGCCAGCACGGTGACCACGTTTAGCTCCGCCTCCCCTCCTCCGTCCTCACAACCGACAGCAGTCGGAACCCGTCACGCAGGAAGACTATGGCTTCATCGGCATCAATGGTGAGAACCTTTACTTTTTTGTCAAGCAAAACCGCAGGATGTGATGAAAAAAGTAGAGTAGCTTAACTCTTTGAGCCCTTAGTTTTTTCAACCATTTCCCGAAATTTTTTTTTTTTATAGTCACCTATACCTGGTGCTCTATATCTCAATATAACCCCAAAAGCTGCCTCCAACGTCTAAATAGTGGAAACAAAGGCTTAGTCATTACTAAAAAACTTGGTTTGGGAATAGTTCCGAAAAAGCAAACAAAAACTAGCACTAAATAAAATGAAACAGTTGTCACTAGTATCAGACTCTCCCAGCGTCCGATGGGGAACAGGGTTATTACAGCTGGACGTTCCTAGCATCCGATGGAGTTGAAAGAGTTAAGAAGGGTTTTTTTTTGTTGCTCATTTCTATCAGGTGGCGCTTTTGTGTTTAGTAGAAAGAACAACAGCCAAAAATGTGCAGCTTTTTGGATTTTCAAATTAAGCATTGGAATTAGTGTAAACGCATAAGAGAAATGTGTTATTATATGTGTGTCACGACTAAAGAAGTTTTACGCTCCCATCAACATTATTTAGATCATTAAGGAGGCGGGATGCTTCTAACCTGCCTTTTAGAACCAACTGTTGTCCTTCTCCCTCTCTCCCCCTTCACTCGTTAATTTCCCTCCCTCCTCCTTCACTCATTCATCTCCCTCTCTCCCCCCCCTCCCCCACAGGTCTCAAGGACAACCAGCTCGTGGCCCCCCACCCGCCCCGAGAACCGTCCAATGACAGAGTGCGTCGACGTCCTCGCATCAAGAGCATCGGTCAGAACGGGGTGGTGGTCAACAGAGGTGAGAGGCGGTTTGGTTAAGATGAGATAGGATGAGAAATGATGAGATAAGATAAGATACGATAGATCTTTATTGTCCGTCGCTAGTACACTGGTTTATTGTTCCATGTCACACACACACACATACACACACACACGCACACACACACACACAGACACACACACACACACACACATTCACACGCACACACACACAGGCACACGTGCACACATGCACGCACGTTCCATACACACTCTCTCTCACGCATCCTCTCTTCTTGACATAGGAATGGATTGAGTCACGTCAGGTCGATAAATGGCGGTTTCAGCTCACACTGGTTATCAAATGGCAGTGTGCAGTGGGTATATGGTTATGGTCAGTCCCACCTGTTCAGTTACAAATATTTACAGTCATTTGCTAACATTTACAAAGATTTACAATTTACAATTATTTACAATCATTTACAAACATTTACAAACATCTATAATTATTTACAATCTTTTACAATTGCTTTATTTGTATTACCCTGGTCTCATATGTTGACATTTCAGGTGAACCCAGCATGACCTCACCGCCCACCTCTGCCCTGCTCACATCCGTGCGGGCGTCGTCCCAAGCAACCTTGGGAAGTCAAGGTCACAGCCAGTCTTCGTTGTACCAAGCACCCTCCACCGCAGCGTCCTCCTCGAGTCAAAGGCTCTCTGAGGTCAAGGCCAGTCGGCGGTCGATGAAAGATTCAGGGGTGGGCCCTGACGTGCCTGAGATACAGTCGCCCAGGAAAGGTAATTTTTTTTCTTTTTCGTCCAGGCAGAATTGTTTTTGTCTGTGTTCACTGTGTCTACTGTATGAATAATGTATGTGGGGTGGGGGGGGATGGAAAATGCCTCTGGAAGGTCATACTTCTTGTTTTGTCTCCCTCTTTTTGTTTCTGCCTATCCGCCTTGCTCTTTCCCAGCACTACGTGTGTGTAATTATGTCAATGTGCCTCTGTTTACTCAGACAAAAATACCCTATCTTAATATTTTTTTTTTTATGAGATTCTCATCACTCTGTCCTCTTCTTCGACGGTGTCATTATAATAGTGACAAAAATTGATTGGGGGGGGGGGGGAGTGGTTGTTTGTACAGACATTTGTCTTGGACAGGTTGTTGTTGGACTGGATTGGACTGTATGAGGAACAGGGATCACAGTTTTCTGCAGATCTGTAGTTTTCCGCGGTTGCGAGAACTTCCCAAAATCCGTCCTGCGGTCTTAACCACGGCTGCGGTCGTTCCGCCCACGCCTTAAGTCGGGCTGCGGTAGGCCTTGAGTAGCCTGAGATCGGCCCTATGGCGCCCCGCGTACGATATCAAAGTCCTTATCTCTGCTCCTTTTTTTTGTGTTTGTTACTCTCTTGTAACACCTCTAATCTTCGGCACTTATATGACCTTAATGTGTTGCAAGTGCCGTAAAACTCTTACTATAACTAAAGGTTTTTTGGTCCTGTGCTAAAATGTGTTGTTGGTGGCGTAAAAAAAACTCACACCGTTTTTTTTTCCTTCTCACCAGGAGAACCGCCAAGCTCCCCGACTGGCTCTGCTCTGACAGGCTACGACTCGGTTTCCGACGTGATTTCGCTGCTGAGGTCCGAGAGGGGCGGAGTCGACCTCCCACGGGGTCACAGGCGAGAGCTCAGCGGGGGCGGCAACGAGTCCGTGATGGACAGAGTGCAGGAGGAACGGACGACGCAGGAGAAGGAGAGAAGAGCCAGGGAGGAGGGATTGAGGACGAGGCAGAATCAGTGGCAGCTGGCGGGGGGAGGGAGGGAGGAGGCGGAGGATGAGGACAGCAATGTGTCCACGTCGGCAAGCGAGGGTTCGAACCCAGGCGAATATGAGGAGAGTGATGAGTAAGTTGTGGCTGTTTGCCAAAATAAAGAGAAAAAAAGAAACGAAACAAAGAGAAAAAAGATATAAACTAAAGAGAAAGAAAGAAATGAAACAAAGAGTAAAAAAGATATATACTAAAGAGATAAAAAGATATAAATTAAAGAGATTAAAAGAAATGAAATAAAGATAAAAAGAGAAATAGGATAATTAAAATACCACTTTAGTGCAGTTACCCTGTAGGTAAACTTTGATTAATCAGTACAGTTTTCCTGTGTCATATCGTGGCTCAAATTTTGCAGACTCGGTTCACTGCAGATTTTTCCTGCCTAAAATAAAACAAACAGGGCAGCTCTATTGACGCACCTTTCACTGAGGGCAGCTCTATTGACGCACCTTTCACTGAGCGTTAGCAGTCATTGCTAGTAATAAATCTATACAAATATCTTATTTTTTAAAATACCGTTGGTTTTTCATATTTCAAGTGTGTAAAGTGTTTTCTAAGAGCATGGGAGAGGTTTATAAGATTATGAGGAGTGTTTGTAAGAGAGAAAACGCTTAACAAATATATTGTTTCTACTTCATGGATTTCCCACTGTCTTGGGAGATTCTGGAACGTAATCCCCCCATGATATTCGAGGGAAAACCGTACAATTAATAGATCCAATAGATCGTAGACGTTGCATGATAAACAGTGTCTCACATGTACAGACAGTATTACAAACATGCTAGTGCTAGTCACTACTGTGTCATGCCAGCTAGTGATGTTGTTATGTAGTTATTGGTCCAGTGAGCTAGTAATGAAGTGGCTGTATTGGGTTAGTTTGTGCCTAAGACTATAAACTACGACGTCAGCAATCTGTTCAAATATTTTAAGCCCAGAAAGCGAAATATTTTGGGAGAGAGAAAAAAAAGTTTCTTTCTTTTAGAAATGTTATCTGCATTATGTACTTTTTCTTGCTTTTTTCAGCACTTAGAATTAGAATTTTGGCAAGATAATTCTGAAGTTGATAACCATAGATTAAGAAACTGCAATGAAAGAAATTCTCAAAATTTTGGGCTTAGAACATCTGAACAGCTGGCAAACACAAAGACAAGACATAGCGAGTGTTATTGCATTTGATGCGTTGCTTTTTACTGAAACTTTAAAAAAGAAGACTGCAATACTCAGCATTTTTTTCTGTTCCTCTTCCAGAGAGAGCAGTGAAACCAACAAGCTACATTTGTTCATCTCTCCGCCAAAGTCAGCGCCGAGACGGAACATCTCGCCAGGTACCGCGGAGGCGGAGATCAATCAGGTCAGTGGGTACATGGTCGCTGGATGGGCTCGGGCTGACACCATGGTCACAGCAAACTAGCTGGGTACCCCGTTCGATGAATGGACTCAAAAGAATCGATCGTCAAGTATTTTGGAATCAGTGCGCACTCCTTGTGAACAGAAGCCACACTTGTTTACAATGGCGTCTTGGAAGACGGACTTTCCCAAGCTAAGATCTAAACGAAACTAATGAAAAACTGATAATTAAACTACAGTGACTTCAGATTCCTTAATAAAACTGTACACCCTTTAAATGATTCTGAACCTCCGTTAAGTTTTTTCTAATTCGAAAGTTAAGTGGTTCTGAAGTTCTAGGCGATCACAGTGACAAACTTTAACAATTATAGTATATATAGATGCCGTAAATTGAAATCAGAGATTCCAGTTTTCCATATGAATCCGTAAATCTGGATTTCTAAAATAAAGTTCAGACATTGTCTGAAGTGTTGTATTTGTTCCTGCTTATACATTTATTTATATTTTAGTCTCGCGTTCCTTTACTCCAATCATCTTTTTAATTCTCTTTCCCATTTTTTTTGTTGGTGGTTGACGGGCACTCCGGTGTAGTTTGCTCCTTCTACACTGTGAAGCATCTATCTATTGGCCTTATCTATCCTCTTCTTTTTATTTATGTGTTAGTTACTCTCTAGTTACCCTCTCGTCCTTGGCACTTATATATAATGTATGTGTGATGCAAGTGCTGTAAAACTCCTACTAAAACCAAACCTCCCATCTTCTCCTTAAATGGTTGGTTGGTGGGTGCTCTTGTGTGGTTTGCTCCTTCTTTCCTATCAAACATCTATCGTCCTTATCTTATTTTGTGTCTGTTACTCTCTTGTAACACCTGTAATCTTTGGCACCTATATGACCTTATTGTGTTGCAAGTGCCGTAAAACTCTTACTTTAAAAAAAGATAAAAAAGAATACCACCCCTGCTTTTTAATGTGCCGTAAAACTCCTACTAAACCGAAACTCCCACCTTCTCGTTCAGTCCAAGAAAAGCTTTGTGAAGACGTTCCGCTCCAACGTGAAGCAGAGCGGGGACGCGTCCTCCCACCGCGGGGCCCGCCTCGAAGATGACTTCGTCAGCCGCAGCAGCAGCGAGGAGGACATGATGAACCTCCACGCAGCCGACTTCCTGTCCTACCAGCACCCGCCCTCGTCGTCACGGCGACCCGGTGGCCACAACTCCTACCGCCACCACCACCACCACCAACACCATCCTCACCACCACGCTGCGGCGACCAGCAGCAACAGCAGCAGCAGTGGTTACAACAGCAGTAACTACACCACCGCTGCCGCCTCCAACAACAACAACAACACTTCTAGTCCAAAGTTCAGAGGTCACACAGAGCGCCAGAGCGCCAACTCAAGGTCAAGGGCGTCAGCAGGTAAGATAAGATAAGATCAGATAAGATAAGATAAGGAAAGGTAAGATAAGGTAAGTTGAGATGAGATGAGATAATACTTTATTATCCCAGAGGGAAATTTTTCTTGGCTGTACAGGACCGTAAAAACACACGCAGGTATATATACAAAATTTAAATTATAATATATTACTCTCTTTAAAATTCAATATGAAAAGAGAAATAAAGCGCTGACAAAATATACATATCACATCAGATGCCTCATTCAACCACATCATCATCATCATCATCCAGTGCCAGATCTGCGACAGACATCGGCGATCATGGTTCTCCATTCATTCCTTTTCTCGGATGCTCTAAAAAAAGCCACGTTTCTCTGATCTTTCCCTGTCACCCATTTGTTCAGGTTCCCTAAGTAAGTTGTTCTGGGCCTACCCCAACCATATGCAGGAATTTAATTACATATTTAATGACAGGAATGATGCCGCCCAAGACGTCCGGCAGCCCGGACCAGAAGCCCGGTACGTACGACGCCAGGTTGTACTCGGAGGGTCGCGGTACAAAGGTCAAGGACAGCGGGAAGAACTCTCTGTCCAGGATGAGCAAGAAGTCGCTGCGAGAGATCAACAACCCCCACAGCACCGATGCCGCGCCCGCTACCTCGCTCAGCAACGATGTAAGACGGGACGCTTGTTGTTTTTGTTTGTTTTTACATCCTTTTTGACACTGTTGAGGCTAGTCAATGTAAGCCCCGCCGCTGTTGTTTTTTTGGTTTTGTTTTACACCATTTTTGATACTGTTGAGGCTAGTCAATGAAAGCAACTGCTTTTTGTTTAGAAACAATTCTTTCAAATACATACATGATTACTTGCTCCTGAGAACAACATCATAGCACTCCGGGCATTGCCATATGTGCAGTCTGATAAAAAACACATACACAAAAGGACAGTCGCGGTGGCCACTGATCACCCTTCTGCTGTAAGCTGACAAAACGCTTTAAAAAAGATATTGTGATGCCAACATTTTTTTATTTGCTAAATTACTAAGTTACCCTACTTGTGGAAAAAAATCAAAGTGAAACTGAGACTAGTTTTTGAATAAATTAGAATTCAGAATTTGGAATCACTCTATTTTTAGAGGGTTACACGGACAAAAAACCCCTCTTTTTCTCGAAACTGCTGTAAAGGAAAAAAAGGCGTTTTGTCAGTTTATGGCAGACTGGCTGTTGGAAGAAAATAAAACTAGTAAATAAAATGAAATTACAACAAATCTGAAGCGTACTGACAAAATGAGTTACTTCTTGGATTCGAGCCCTATGGAAATAGGTACACTACGCTTATAGGTGAAGTTTTTACTATTCATAAGTGTGAAATAATAAAAAGCATGTTATACTTAAAGAATATGGCATCTATAGAAAATCTACAAATTCGACCCTAGTGTCTATTTTTTGCCAACGTTTCCATTTGTGGAATGTGAAAAGTAACTCATTTTGTCAGCACGCCTCACTAATGTATTTTTATCCTTTTAGAGTTTGCGGAAATGAAAAAGTTTTTCGTACGTCCCCAGAAGCCGTACGACGTGAGCAAGTACCAGATGAACGACATCACGGAGTCGTTCGAGGCGCGGATGTTTGCCAGCATGCATCGCCAGGTAGAGGACGCCATGGAGGACATCTCCCCGCCGCCCAACGCCCTCGGGGGAGCCCCGCCACTGCTGCTCCAGAGTGGGGGCTCCCTGCATCGGCTGAGCGGTGCCGACATGAGTGGCACGATGCCGTTATACAGCGAGTCTCCGGCCACTACCAGCGACGATGACACAAGCTTCAGCACATGGAAGGCTCCGGTCAGTGGGTGGTTGGCGGGTGCTCTGCTGTGTAGTGTGTCCCTTTTTCTGTTTTAGACGTGTCGCGACCTCAGTGCTTTCTTGTCGTATCGCCATTTTTTCACAGTGAAAATGTGAGTTCTTTTTGTGAGTTCTTCTTAGGCTCGCTCTTTGTTATGAACTGTGCTCTCCTGTGTATTGTGCCCTGTCTTTCTCTCTCTGACATCTATCATCGTGGGTGGTTGGTGGTTGTTCTGGTCTGATTTGCTCCTTTTAACCTGTCAAACAACTATCTGGCTTTTACTTGACCTATTTTTGTGTTGCAAGTGCTGTAAAATTCTTACTAAAGCTAAAACTAAAACATCTATCATCCGTATCTGTCCTCCTTCTTTTCTTTGTATGTTACTCTCTTGAAAAACCTCCAATCTTCCTTATGTGTACGTTGTGTTTGTGTTTCAGGCGCCTAATCTGGTACCTCACAACTACCAGGATGAGATGAAGTCTCGACGGAGTAGCGACACCCTCACTTCCTCCAACCCACGGTGAGTGAGTGTCTGTCGAGTTTGTTCATCTGGTACCCAAAGGAAAATCTATATGTTACAGCAGAAAGTTTTCAAGACAGTCACCCATTGTTGAGGAGAAAAGTGGTCATTTTAATAATAATAATAATAATAACAATAATAATAATAGATAGCATTTGTATAGTGCAAATCCCCGCTCAACAGCAAGCTATATGCGCTTCACAATCTATGCTATTACCCCAGCAGACCTGAGAACACTCTGAAACAACCTCAACTTCCTGGGAAACATACAGTGCAAGCAGCCTTTTATAGGCCCTAAAGCACTAACCTACTGACAAGATCTTTCGCTGTCTATGGCCGGGTACCCATTCCCACCTAGGTGAAGTGAAGAAAATTTTTGTGAAGTGCCTTTCCCAAGGACACAACTTCGGGCCCGCGGCTCGAACCCCTGAACCCGCAACCTCATGATTACGAGTCCGGTAGCCTAACCACTAGGCCACCGATGCCAGGTGGTCCTTTTGGACAGTGTGGTAATGATATGGAAAACATCCAAAGTGAAGTGGTCATTTGTACAGGTGATTGTACAGGTGATTGTCTTGGATATATAACCTAATAGTGGTGCCCTGCAGCCACCTGACGGCAGCTTTTGATGGCTTTCCTGTAGATAGGATCTCTTTGTTGCATCTTTTACTGAGCAGTTAAGTGACAAAGACTTTATGAAGATTGGTCTAAGAGTTTTTGTTTATGATTATATCTGTATGAGTGGTTGGCGGGTGCTCTGGTGTGGTTTGCTCCTTCTTTCCTATCAAATATTTATTGTCTTGATCTCTCCTACTTCTTTATAGTGTTTGTTACTCTCTTGTAACACCTCTAATCTTTGGCACTTATGTGACCTCACTGTTTTGCAACTGCCGTAAAACTCTTACTAAAACTAAGGAAAATACTTCATAAAGATTGGTCTAATAGTTTTTGTTACTGATCATGTCTCTTTACTGTTGAACAGATTTATACGTAGCAACTCATTTAGCGAGTTTTTTTTGTTTCCCTGTGCAGAACTGTTTTGTTGTTTTGAGTTTGAAGTCATGCTTCTTTTTAAGTTTTTTCACCACAAATCTCTGAGTGTGTTATGTTGTTTCTCAGCGACTGGAGCAGCGTTATCTCCCCTCCCATCGGCCCGCTGGGCGTGGTCCAAGACCTACAAGGCACGCTGGAGGGAATCTCCGACGAGCTGTCAGATGACGCCTCAGGCCAACAGCAAGGTGAGCCGAAGAAGATTGTCCTAGACAGATGGCCGCAAGAGCAGGGTCAACTATATCTGTATCTGTGATAACAATGTGTGAAGCATGCTGACAAAATGAGTTACTTCTTGGATTCAAGCCTTAAGGAAATAGATACATCATGCTTATAGGTGAAATTTTTACAATTAATAAGTATGAAATAATAAAAGACTGGTTTTAGTAAAGAATATGGCATCAATAGAAAATCTACAAATTTGACCCTCTTGCCGATTTTTGGCCTATATCTTCTTTTGTGGATTGCGAGAAGTAAGTGGTTTTGTCAGCACGCCTCACATATATATCTGTACCTTTTATAATATGTACAATTTTTGCCTTCCAGGAAAAGCACGCAGCAACGGCCTGAAGAGCGAGGGAGAGGAGGAGAAGCTGGACCTGTACTTTGACCCCAAGCTCAACTGTTACTACGACCCCAAGACCCAGAAGTGGTACGAGCTTGTCTCTTGAGGCGCGGGCTGTACCACCTCATATCCTTGCTCCTGGACGGCTCTACTTCGTTTGGACGATCCCAGACGGAACTACTTTGTTGAGTTCCCAGATGGCACTATGTTGTCGAAAGACTCCTGTCAGCACTACTTTGTTGAAAAGAGCCTAGATGGCACTACTTTGTTGAGATTACAGACAGCACTGCTTTTTCGAGAACAACTTAGACAGAACTACTTTTTCGAGATCCCAGATGATACTGTTTTGTCAAGAAAATCGTAGGCAGTACTACTTTATTGAGATCAAAGACGGCTCTACTTTATTTGGATAGTCCCAGAGAATATTACTTTGTTGGGACGACAGCTGCATAATGCAGAATACATTTTCAGACTGAAATAGAGCGGTGGGTTGACCGAGACTTCCTTCCTGATTTGTCCTCCCTGAATTGTGTGCTGTTTCAAGATAATATGTGTTATGTCAGCGAATAGTGCTTTGTGTGTAGTACATCTATTGGTTCTCGTTTGGACAATCGCAGACAATATTACTACATTGTTGGGACGACAGCTTGATAACGCAGATCACATTTTGAGACTGAAATAGGGCATTGGATGGGCTGAGACTTCCTTCCTGAATTGTGTGCTGCTTCAAGACGTGTGTTCTGTCAGCGGATAGTGCTTTGTGTGTAGTACATGATTTGTCTGCCCTCGTTTGTACAAGATATGTATTACCAACAACTAGAAGTTTGTACGTAGGAGTGCATCCATCAGTTCACATTTCGAGACCTCAGTGCTTTCTTGTCCTATCTCCATGTTTTTTAACATTGAAAGTGTGACTTTTTCTTAAGCTCACTCTTTGTTATGAACTGTTTTCACTGTTATTAAAAATGGAGATAGGACAAGAAAGCACTGAGGTCGCGATTTGTACAAGATGTGTCATGTGTAATGTCAGTGAGTAGAAAATCATAATACATAGTATGTCTGTCAGTCCACATTTGTACAAGTTCTGGTAGTGCGTCGATCTGTCTGCATGTGTACAAGATGGGTGTTAAGTCAGTGACGATCGTATGTAGTCATGTCTGTCAGTCCACATTTGTACAAGATGGGTGTTATGACAGCGAGTAGAAGATCATACGTAATTAGTATGTCTATTAGTCTACATTTATACAAGGTCTGGTACGAGACATGTCTTATGTCAATATAGAGAAGTTTGTATGTACGTACTGCATCCACCAGTCCACATTTGTACAAGATGTGTGTTATCTCAGTATACTGAAGTTCGTATCATGTAGTATTTGTTATGTCAGAGCATAGAAGTTTGTACGTAGTACATCTGTGGGTACTCATTTGTACAAGTTCTGGTACGAGACGTGTCTTACGTCAATAAATGGGCATTTGTACATATATTCATTACATATAGAACAGCCATCAGTTCAGATCTCATTTGTGCAAGATTTGCATTATCTCATCAAACGTGAGGTTGTACATATAATATAGCACATCCATCAGCCCAGTGTACATAGCAGCTGCTCTCTGTAAGCCACCGCAAGTAATGAGGAACCTTTAATGAAAACCCCGTAATGAGAAGCCCGTAGTGAAAACCCCATAATGAGAGGGTTGATCTCGGCTCAAAATGACTCAAAAGCTGTTGAGGCTGTGATATTTGTTGCTCCCCGTGATGGGCAGCTCCTCCTCCCTGTTCGCGGGCAGTGTTGCATACAGAGGTATCTCAATGGCCGCCAAAAATGACTTATGTCTGTATGCAGTACTGCCCGTGTGTTGTCTGTCAGTGATGTTGGAGGGGGGAGGGGACAGGGAGGGTGGTGTTCTGGCTTACTTCACTGGCTGCTCAGGGCTCATATTGATGTTGTTATGCTCTAACATGTACATTTTTTCCCCTCTAATGTGCTGGGTGTAACTTTTTAGAACCCTTCTGAGTTGGGGGAAAATCCGCAAAGTAGAAACAATATATTTATTACGGGTTTCACTGTATTCTTTCATACCTCTCCTTCTCTCTTTTGAGTACTTTCTACATTTGAAATTTGAGAGGCAAACTGCCTTTAAAAAATAGGACATTTGTATTTTTATATATATATTTATATGTATATTTGTCAATAAAAATGACTCGTTATGTCTTGGCCAATAGTGATCTTTTCAGATTCTCCTATCTTCAACAAGTAAAAAAACCGCAAGAAATGATGAAACAAATCTACAAAATGTGAACCTTGATGAGGGAGGGGAAAACCATAACACGATTCTTGAAAATTTTTTCAACTGGCAAAACTTAAAAAACCCCAAACAAAACATCGTTCTGATTCACATGAGGAGAGAAGGCGCAAAAGGGAGCCCAAATTGTTGGATCTCGTGCCATCCTGATTTTTATTGACGGCCTGCAGATCAAAGTTGGCTATGACGACTTTAGAACAAAAGATCCTTTCATCTACAGTGCGGCCTCTTTATAGTTTTAGTAGAGGTTTTTCGGTTCTCGCAACTGCATAAGGTCATATCAGTGCCATCAGCCTCTCTGTAACAACATCGTCGGGACCAGAAAAAAATGTCGTTATAGCGAAATGTCGTTATAGAGAGGCCGCCAAAAATATTACTAATGATATACAACGTGAAAAAATTGGGATCTGGTCATCATGTCGCAATACAGAGGATGTCGTTATATCCAACGTTGTTATAGAGAGGCTGCACTGTATTTTTGTTCTAGCTATACGTGGGTGTTTGGCGGTTGCTCTGGTGTGGTTTGCTTCTTCTTTCCTATCAAACATCTATCGTCCTTATCTCTCCTTCTTTTCTGTGTTTGTTACTCTCTTGTAACACCTCTAATCTTTGGCACTTTTATGACCTTATTGTGTTGCAAGTGCCGTAAAACTCTAACTAAAACTATCAGAAAGAAAAGTTTTAGTCACATGGTCTGAGCATAACCCCCATCAATATGACTGTTCTTTCCCTGTTCTTTGCTTTTCCTTTGCAATGACATTGAGGTGCGTTCTGCCTACTATGTATTGAAATAAACGTAACTTGGTAACTATCTCATTCTTTGCATTTTATCACCATTTTTATGCAGCATGTACGTTTGTCATGGTATTTTGTCTTTCACTGAAAGAATAAAAAAAAGGGAAATTTGATGATTGAGTTGATTTCTAGTGAAATTTTACTGAACTCTCTCTCTCTCTCTCTCTCTCTCTCTCTCTCTCT